ATTGAAATTCGAAGCTCCTCGTCCAGCATACAGTAGTTAACCTTTGCACTCGAGAGGTGACTCTCACTCGATTACAGTACAACTGTAAAACTTGATATTTAATATTCTTACCTCGTACAACATATTAATTTGAGAGATACTGAATTAAAATAGATTTCTCGAGTTTCACAAAATATCGTCAATGTCTCGTTAGAAACTGAAAATATTTCTAGTGAAAAAGTGCAAAGGGTTGATCCCTGTAGAAACATTGAAGTATGCATCGTTAGCAATGGGTTTCCTGTATTTTCCACTTTTCGATGTCCATTTTATCAAGAAGTGGAAGGCTCGAACCTAACGATGTATTGCCATGTTTCAAGGTATAGGGACGTTTCTAATTTATTCACAGCAATCCCAAAGATGTTGCTTGAATACATAGTAATCCTTACTGAAACGTCCTAGCGATGACAAGCGAAACAATTGCAACGGACGAATCCCGTTGGGGAACTTCAGCGGTTCAATGGCGAGTAAGATGTAAGATCCATAAAACGTTCGCATGAATCGTCGGTCTTTGTGGTCGCCCAGTGAAATAAATTAAGTCGTCGAGCATCGGGGAAGCCCCGTCGTCCGAAAATCGTTCCGTTCGAGATGGTATCGCCGTCTTGGCCAGCTCGGGTGTGTCGCAACGACGACGGGCCACGGTTCCATCGTTTCTCGCAAACGCGGCGCGACGCGACGCGAGGCGACGCCATTTTTATGGGCGTACGACGGGTTTTCGCGGTTCACGGCGGCGGAATCGCGCGAACAGGCGGGAATATTTCGACCTTTGGCATCGCTAGAGCGAAGGAACGTGTTTACGAGCATTGGCTCTCTTCGTCGTCGCGCGCACTCCCCATTTCTCGCATGTACGCGCAATCCCAACTTGCCAAATTGCGTCCTAGATCACGGGCGTCCCAATTCCCGTGTCCTCCATCGCGTTTATGTATTTCTGCATAGAAATGCTTCGCTGCTCCTCGGAAAGTGTCCCGCGGGTGTCCCGACGGGACCCGAGGCCTCCGGAGCCAGACAAAAGGATCGCCGCGCTTCCGGTTCCGTCCAGTTCCGAACGGACACTGCTGGACACCGGGGCGACCAATTTCTATTGCCGACGTTTTATTGTCGTCAGTTGTATTTATAGTCTTCCAGGGAATTTGAAAGTAGATTGTCGCGATCTTATCAACCTTTTTCTATCGGCGACCGTAATGCAATGGATGTAGAGTAAGGACGCGGAGAGGTCGCGACACTAAACTTAATTGGATAGTCCAGCGAAGTTCTCGGAAGAGTTCGTTAATAGCAATTCGAGGTTGACTTAACGATTTTCGAAATTTCTCGAAATAACGTGTTTCATCCTGCGGTACACAGGGTGTCCAGAGGGTTAAGGGACCGTTCCCCGTCCATTCTGCAAATTGAATTCTATTATATTAAAATTCTACGAACAGCAGGTTACGCGATTCACCTTGCACACGGTTCGGTATATAGGCCCTTTTGATGCCTAGGGGTCACGCGACACATGTTCCCCGCTATCGATCCCTATTCCTCGTCCTATTCCGCGCTCCAACACAGCTCCAACTTCGTAAATCGCGGCCCGAACAAGAGAAGCGGCCCGATTCCCCGCTTTATCTGCGCGCCATTCATTCACAAACTTTCTGACGCGAAGTTGTCACTCGGTCCGAAGTCCCGCCGTTCGGTTGCGCGCCAGTTCGACCGGATGGTTCTCTCGCTGGATCCTATCTCGACGGATTCCCAGCTTTCTTCGCGAATCGTCGCCGCTCGTTCAACGTTTCTACGACATTCCTATCAATCTTCAAGCCGAGCGATGCTCTCGATATCAGTCGTCCAATACTGACAGAAATCAAACCATTGACTCACGAGAAACGCAGCGGAAGTCGCGAATTCCCCGAAGAAACGGGGGAAAAGTTGAAAAGGAACAGCCAGAGAAACGATAAACCGATCGACTTAACGCGAATGGAGTCGACTCACCGATTTAAAGGCTACCCCGAGGAAGCGTTTACAGAGCCGGGGAACCCGAGCGACCGATATATCGACTCCTTTCGTATGTTGCATTTAGGTGGTTGATTTCAGTCTAAAAACGGACGATCGAAATCGGAGCTACTCGACGACTCGCCTTCCTTTTCTCTCTCTCTTTCTCTCTCTCTCTCTCCCCCTCCGTTCACCGTACACACGTACACGTAAGCCCCGTCGAAATCGCATTACGTAAATATTTAAACTTCAAACAAACATCGATCTCCCGATATCTTCGGCCATGTATTCTTAAGTCGCGCACACGGCGAGGCAGAAGCCAGCCGCGGCAGCACTTTATAGGTCAGCCGCGACGTGTTCGTGATTATCAGTCCCTTTCCATCCCCCGTCGCCGCTATCTCTCGACCCTCCTCCGCCTCCCGCCCCCGCTCCGCCGTCGCCGCCGCCGCGTTCCTCGTCCAGCCAGGCTGCATGCATTATAATTTCATCTGGTCGAGTTGGTGTCCACGAGGACGACGGGGTTGTAAAAGAATAAATCGCTAAAAATAAATAGAATCGGGTGTGTGCCGTGTACTCGGTACGCGGGGAAACACGTTAATCCGGTTCCCATCGCGGTGCCGGCCGTGCGTCGTGATTGACTTTTTGGCGGCGGCCGGTTCTCGAAGCTTAATCTACCGCTCCGCGGCGGTCATAAAGTTCTATTTTCTTGCTGAAATAAGGCTCGCCGATGCTCGCAGAACCGCGACGCGCAAAACTTCTTTCCGATTTATTTATAGCGAGATCGTCTAACTGTGTTCGATCCCGATCCCCGCGGACCGCCGGGGAATTTTTAATATCGGCGAACCTTGCCGCCGGCCGTTCCGCGTGTAACGAGGAAGAAGCGGCGCGACGGTTGGATCGAGCGGCTCGCGAATTTTTATTCCGGAGCATTTCATCTCGACGCTGGCGAACTAAGCGATAAAAGTAACGGGAACAACGGGGATAAAATGTTGATTCAGATGTTTGAGTTAATGGAAGGATATCAACCCTTTGCACTCCGAAAATTTGACTCTAGAAATATTCTGTAGGTTTCATACTTACTTGGTTTGATACAGTAAAATTATAGTATCAAGTTACAGTGATATTATAACGTTAAGTTTCGCGTTTAACCCCTTGCACTCGGCAGTACTTCGCTAGAAATATTTCACATTTTCCAACGAGACAAAGATGATGCTTGAAATGAAGTCTAAGAGAGATCACGAGTAGATTGAGGAACGAAGCTTTTTTATTCCAATATTTCGATGCATTATACACAGTTCAATATTACGTATCAAATTTTATAGTTTTACTGCATCGAATCAAGTGGTGAGAGTCACTAGAAATTTGTCACTAGAAATATTCAATTTATTTTGATGAGATATAGATGACGTTCTTTAAACTCAACGAGGAATCTATTGACAAAATAAGGGGAACAATGGTGTTTTATTTCCACATAAATGTTAAATACGAAATTTTACAATTTTGATGCGCCAATCGAGTGGTGACTGAGAGGCACCTTTGGAGTGCAAAGGGTAAACTGTTTCGTTGGAGAAGAAAGTTAGGTTTTCGGCGAGTAAAGTAAATGTTTGATCGGGAATTCTGTTTAATGCGCTGTTTCTGTTAGAAGAGTGGAGGAACGATCGAAATTTATCGTTACCATAGGAAGGAATTAAAATATTTCATCGTACGCTCGGAATACCGCGCGTCTATTACGGGATGGACGGGTTTATTTATCGGAGTCGTTTACACGCGTTTTTATGAAGTAGGCCTACGATCAGGCGATCCGTATATTTACTTTCTTCTTAAGGCAACATTTTGGAAATACACATCGGCGAGTGGAAATGGTGACTGTTGCCAGAGGATGACGCTCGGCTCGTTCAGGCGTTAGTGTTTGGTGTAACGAACGTTCGGATGGGAACGATCGCTCCATAAATTAGAGCGAGCGGTCCGAAAATCATCAGATACGATCTTGCCAAATCCAAACCGGGGGCAAAACGTGCGTGGCGAGTCACGAGATGAAAATGCTCCGAATAAGGCCAACTTTATTTATTTAGCCGTGGCTTTTAAAACGACGCGCACACTTGCCAAGGGAATTTAATTGGTTAATTGGACGGTTTTATCGAGATACTCATTAGATGAATTAACGTTACAAAATAAAACGTAGATGAAAATGATGCAGCAGTGTACTTTAACTTTCAAAATGTCTCTTCAAACGAAACGACAAATAAACGTAGAATGTATTCCACTCTATCCAATTAACATGAAAAATGAGACAGTACAACCTTGAAACAATCTTTGTCACTACTTCGTTTACTCGTCTAAAAGAATTCTTCCCACTTCATCCTACCTCAATAATAAGAACATTCGTTCCAAACATAGAAAGTTTCTCAATAAAATGTCAAAAACTCCAAAAACCGAAATTGACTAGCTAATCGACTGGATTATTGAATACAAGAACTCTCACCTCATCCATGAAGCCAATATTAACTCTTTGCGGACGAAGATCCCTTAACTATATAAAACCTTTAGTAGATTCTGCCAAATCACACGAATGCTTAAATAATACAGAATAAGGAAATTATATTCTTGCTGTTCGAGCAGTCGAATCATTTGCAACCTAGTATTACAAACATGAAAGTTCTCGGTAGTGTCGACGTTCGTCCGCAAAGGGTTGAAAACATCATTCGAAACCCAGAAAGTTCAAAGACAATCAAGCCTCTCAAAATTTCAAAAAATTCAAAAAGCCACCAACACAACTCCATCGCCATTGTCGAACGGGACACCCTGTACACCGATAAGCCGACTTCTTCTGGCTCGTGTTCCACAGCGGTTAAACGGATCTGGCGGTCAGTTTACGGGGTGACTGCATGCTCACGCGTTAGGGTATATCACGTTAGCCCCCGCGGAAAGCCGGGCGGCCATATTATTTAGCTCCCGAGCGTGGTGTACGCCACTTGACGTGTGCTCCTATGTTCTTACCGATGAAGTAACCTACAAGGGGGTGCCGGACATACACGAGGGCCAGGCGTGGTCGATCGAGTGCAGCGGCCTGAAGCCGGACGATCTGATCAGATGGACCAGAAACGGGCAGTCGCTCGAGCCGGAGTTGGCCAGCGGTCAGCTGGTCGTCGAATCGCCGGTGGGGACCGGAAGCAGCACGCTCCGGGCGATCTACGCCACCGACAGCCACGACGGGGACTACAAATGCACCCCCGACAGCAACGAAGCCTTCCACCTCTGGATGTACTTTGGTTCGTATGTTGCGCACCGTGGAAACCGGCCCGGGTTCCTTCGGGTGTTCGCTTGCTCTCGCTCTCGAGGAGCATCGTCCGCTTAACAGTCCCCGGAACGCTCCTATCTCGAACAGAATCCCATCGAAGCTATGATAATTATTGTTAACCCCTTGTCCTACGACGAGTGAGACTCGTGGAGATTTTCAATGATTCGACAAATATATGTATTAGTTCATTCGAATGTAAAGTGAATATTCCTCTGTAATCGACTGTTATACTTAACCCTTTGAACCCTGTAGGCTCCAGTATTGCATCAGTTATAATATTAAATATTTTAATGAGTAAAGAAACTGCACTAGAATTGTTAGATTTTCCACGTATCCAAATTTTTAATCGATTAATATATAATCCTCGTAAAAATTGTAGGAATAGATTATTTTCAGTTTCTTCAGACATTCGTTATAGTAGTCAAGTGAAACTATTGATTTTCAAGATAATTTTGAATGTTCAATGGCTTTAAGATATCAATAATTGCGGAACAAAGAAATCAAAACCAGTCACTTTGTCTGGCACGGTAGTTCTAGTGTTAACTAAAATTAGATTTTCCACACATCCAAATTTTCTGTTCCGAAGGAAGAAAGATCAAAGAAATGTTACAGCATTTCTCATTTTCGCTAGGAATACTATAAAAATTAGTTGCAGTTGTGATAGATTGCAAAACAACTTGGAGCGCTAAGGGTTAAAAGGTAATACATATGCTTAGAATTTCTCTATTTTTCCAATAAATTATTAACGACGAAGTGACCGTATCGATCGGAGTTGCAAAAGAAACCATAGGCCAAGGGGTTAAGATTCGTGATTCAAGTAAGATATAGTATTCTGTTCTTTCAACAGAACGTATGTGTTCCTGTATTAACGGAGCGCTTTCCCACGTCTGTTAAGCGGACATCAGCATGCTTTTCGTTGAATTTACCGGGACAGACTATGCTTGCTTTTCGCATGTGTTTGCGCTTGTATCCTGCATGCATGTACCGAAATAGTTGTTAGATCCTGACGCCGAGTACCGATTTCTGATTAATAGCAGAGAGTCGTTATCGATGAACAACGAGTTTACCGGCGGACAACGGTGACAGATAAACGGATAGCGAATAGAAATTTCCGAAAGTCTGTTGTGCATCGATAACAATGCGCAGATTAGATAGAGCGTGTCCCGCCGCTGCGAATTAATGGACGCCCCGCCGCTCCTCGCAATCGCGCTGACGATTTTGAGTGGCGCGGGTATCAGCAGGGAATGCTGCGCTCATTGTACAATTGGAATGACGCATAACTTTCCAGCTGCAGCGGTAATCCAGTTACGCCGGCCTAAATGACGATTAATCGCAATTAATCTACACGCTCGCGCGACCGCGGCCGATACCGCTCAATTACGCCTCCACCGCCTTTCGAGGACCGAGTCCGCGGACAAAGAGGTTCGCACGCGTCCGCGGGATCGCTTTCTTTCGATTTCATACGAGGAAACCGTTCCTCGTTGACGTAACTCGCTATTAAAGCCGTCGCTTACGGACGGGACTATTGTTTGCTTGTAATTTTTATCAACGAGAAGACGAACGCTCTCGTGAACACAGGTGTCGGGGATCCTTGAAGATGTTTGCTGTTCCGTGCCGCTGGAAGCCGAACTATTCGGAGAACCGTGGTACCGCCTCGCTTCGCTAACACCTTATCGGCGGATGACGCGAAGATGCGTCGAATATTGAAATCGAAGTTCCGAATTTAGCGATTTTCTGAAGAATTAATTTCTGAAGAGTTCCGTAGATAAGAATTATATAATGATTGGATATAGAATATTTTTGTTAAGAATATCACCGGAAATTAAGGGTACTTATTAACTCTTTGCGGATGTCGACAAATTGCAAATAAATGATCTAATTACTCGAACAGCAGGAAATCAGTTTCCTTCTTTTCTGTTAATTGAGCAATTGATGTATAATTTAGCTTCATATTGAAGATTCTGTACGTTTCAAAGAATCCTCGTCCGCGGAGGGTTAACGTTTCGATAGAATTCTCCTCGAGTGATCATCGTCGTCGAATATTAAAATTTAAGACCTCGACCGTGTATATAGGTGACACGGTTCCTCGTTGAACTGTGTCACTTTTACGGCGATGAATCAAGCGGGCGAAATTTTCCTCAAGATCTTGCCAAAATATTGAAAAAGCAATCGCTGCTTCGTCGAGCGGATCGCTCGGGTCCCGCGGAACCGTTACGGACGCTGGCTGGTACAATCGATTTCCTCGAATCATGGTTCGCCTCGCGCGCTTCTTGCGAAATAATAAATTCCAGCTCCGCGGATTTTCCATTGTCGGTTTAGTGCGCGAGTTACGTCGGAAACGATTCCAACGCTCGCGTTATATATTACGGGGCATTACGGGTTTATCAGGGACAGCCGGGACACGAGTACCTCCGTTCCGTTTGCGTTCCATTCGTCAAGATAATAAATTGATTTTTCTATAGGTGTCGTTCCACGTTCGAACGATAAATCTTCTGGACTTCGTAACAAAACTCTGCCCGGAGATAAGATCGCGATACCTCACGAATTTAGACAAACAAGCGGCGCGTTCTTTGACGAGGAGGAAAAGTTCGTTCGATTTAAACGGAGAATCTCAGACGACAACAGATTCAATCGTTTGCATCGCGCAAATGTTGCAGTCAACGATTGCATAATGCGCTACTGTGGTAATACGAGTAACAATGAGGAAAAGTTCTGTTGATTGCAGTAATCTTTTAATGGTCTTCCGATTACACTGCGCCTTCCGATAAATCAACCGTTGAGTATCGACGAACACTTCGACTGCCAATTCGACTTTATAAATTCCAATAATACATCTATTGGAACTTTAATTGATTTGCAATTCAGTTTGCACATTGTAGAAGCAATTTCTTTAATAGTTTCTCAGAGAAACATCTGTTATCTTTGTAATAATTGCAGAAAGAAGGAATCATGGATGATTTTTAGCCGTCCGGTAATTGTAGCGTTAAACTGAGTGAAATGTAGGAATCGTTTGGTAGCCTAGAGCTTGTACAATGCTTTCCCGCTGCTTCGAACATGACAAACAACCGCTCGCACGCTAACGCCGTTCGTCGTTTGTAATACAGATATCAAGATTAAAGTATTAACCAACAAGGACATACCTATGACGCTGGAGTGCGCGAATAAAACCGCTGGTTCGAAGGCGAATTGGATGAAGGAAAACGTGCCGATATACACGGCCCTGGCTGGCAACGACGACCTCTTCAAGATCGACAACGAAACCGGCAATCTGGAGCTCCTGAAGAACAATGACGTCTTGCTTGGAAATTATACTTGCAAAGTACAGAATACCTCCACGGAGTATAGGATCGTGCGTGAGTATCCATTACGTTTCAATCTATAATCACTCACCACTTCATTTCATACAATGAAACTATAAAATTTGATATTTAATATTATATTTCCTATAATGCATCGTTTTGAGAAATATTCAAATAAAATTGCTTTGTTTCTCAATGTACGCGTGATTTCTCGTCGACATAGTTTCACGAAATATCGATTTTATCTCGTCAGAAAGTGTTAAAATATTTCTAGTGAAAAACTTTCGAGTGCAAAGGGTTAACGAAACGAAATAGAGCGTCGACGACGCTCGCATTTCTTGTAGCTGAAATTTAGCCTAATGTGTTAACCCTTCGCTGTCGAGAGGCGACTCACATTTGGTTTGATACAGTAAAGTTATAAGATTTGAAGTTCGATATTAACCCTTTGCGAAGATTCCTTGAAGTACAGGAAATTATATATCGATTGACTTCTTGCTATTTGAGTAATTAAATCACCCCCTCGTGACTTAGCATTCGAAATATGAAAATTTCATCTCGCCGAAATGCCGACGTTCGTCCGCAAAGGGTTAATTACTCGAATAGCAAGAGAACAGCACGCAGTTTCCTTTTGTTCTATCAATCATACAATTGAAATATAATTCAGTTTCGTCTGTCGAGAAGGTTTGGTATTTCAAAGAATCGAGATGAGCGTAAAGTGTTAAAGAAATGTCGTTGATGTTGCAGCAAAGCCCACGGCACACTTGACCGAGTCTATCAGCGTGGTGGAAGGAGAGAAGCTGCATTTAGTGTGTACCGGTAGGCACAGTCCTGGTATCAAAGTGGCATGGACGTTCGGGAACCAGGACTACAAGCGCAGTGAAGGTCGCGTTAAGATCGGACGGGACGCAGAGAGGGGAATCTACGGGACCGTACTGATTGTCGACAACATTGAGATGAGCGATCGTGGCAACGTTTTCTGTAAAGTGTCATACAATTGGTCCGATACCGCTGAGAATCACGTCGCAGAGGCCCAAACATTCCTCAGGGTCAAAGACAAGCTCGCCGCACTCTGGCCCTTCCTAGGCATTTGCGCGGAGGTCATTGTTCTGTGCACTATCATTCTAGTTTACGAGAAGAAACGAAACAAGGCTGAACTCGAGGAATCCGACACCGATCAGAGTCCCGATACGTACGTATTTTATTCAGTGCTGCTCAGTCATCTGAAATCATCCCTAACCATGTCCCCTGTCCAATTTACAATACTGGAAATGTTGTACAATGTTAATGTAATTAATAAAATGATTTTTCAATTTATTTTGGTTGAGGTACCGAGATACGTACTTTTGTGATAAATATTTATATTAATTTATGTTCAAATATCAACCCTTTGCACTTGGGAGGTGACTCACCACTTGGTTTGATAAATAGAATTAAGTTTGATGTTTAATTTTGAAATATCAAAAATACTCTTGTCCCTTAATTTATTAAATTAGTTACAATAGTCGCAACAAATGTCGTCTACATTTTATTAAACAGTGCTGAATATTTCTAGCATAAAATTACCGAATGCAAAGTGTTAACCGTTTGAGGGACATAGCGTTTAAAGTGAAATATTTCCAGTATTGTCTGCTGGTCCAATTGTTGTTCCACTTCTGTTTAATCAGTTGGCTTTGTCAGTGCTTAACCTGTTAACCTTTTAAAAGGTTCGTTTATATTCAATGAATGCACGAAACACGATAATGAAATGCCAATCAATAATTCTATGTATTGCATCTCATTATACTAACGTAATATGAAAACTGCTTAGCAGTCAACGTGTTAAGAGGTTAATGCATCCAATTTTAACACTAGATTTACATTTATTGTACAGTTTATTCTGTTGTTCCCAGAAAGATTCGTCAAACATTTACCAAATAATGTTTATAAAATTCAATACGAGTCAAATTGACTTCTCCGTAAATCTAGTGTTAATGATACTTTCATGGAAATTCTGTTACTGTAATCCTCATGTGCACCCGTTGAACTTAGGGGACGGAAGAGCAGACACGACAAAGCGGAATATTACTTTCCACTCCGTGGACCCCTTCCACCATCCGAACTTCCGGTCGACCCTCCCATAACACCGCCACCGCCAGAATTCCCCGGTCATAGGACTGTCCAGTTCCATTTTTCCTCCAAAGAACACCGTCCACAGTCAGCTCCTCCGCGATTGAATTTCTCACGCTACTGTTTCAAGTCATTTCCTTTGAAGGCTTGCCGTAATTTACAGCTTTACTGGCGTCTCCCGAAAAGAGAGCTAGCAAACACTAACACGGCTGTGGAAGCCTGAGTTTCAAACAAGTACCTTTCCCTCCTCTGATACATTTCTCCCCTTTTCTAATTGTTCATCATCCCCTTCAAGACTAGCATTCCAGAATAGATTTTAATTCAACAAAAATATTTATCTTAAAAATTGTTTAACACTAGAACTACCAGATGAGTCAGAATGACCTTCCTGATTTCTAATTACTGAAAAGATAAGCTGATTGGAATTATACACGGTTATAAGTTTCGCAAAGAACTTTGGAAAGTCAGTTTAAGTGCTTGGTAGTTCTAGTGTTAGATTCGTATTCGACGTCTGTTCCACTGAACTTTAGAACTACCGAGTATCTATTAAATAAGTATAAATCATCGGTGCTATAAGAGTTAGGGATGCGCATTTGCATAAGTAGCGGCGCGACGTTCATCGCGTTACGTAAACGAAAGTATTGATTTATAAAGTGGTTTTGCAACGTTAGATTTCAGTAATTGCAAAATGAGAAAGCCGAGACCGGTGACTATGACAGGTGTGGTGGTTTTTATTAGTGTTAAGGTTAAGAGTAACGGCCATGGGATCCATGTGTGAACGCGCGACGCACACAACGCGACGCTTTTCCAGTGATCTCCCGAGTCGAACGGACAGCGCGAACAGAAATTCACCCATCATCTATTCTGACCGTGTGACCGCGACGACGGTGCCGCCACATATCGATTCCTTCGTGTCTTGTCCAATCGCGTGACTCATCCGCATAAGACTCAGCACCGTTATCAAGCCGCTCGGTGGATTCCAATTGATCGTTACCATTTTGTTTCGCAGCAAACCAACGCCCAACAAGGACTCCGACGTCAGACAGAGAAAGTGAAACGGCGGACAATAAGCGGCGAACGAACGAGAGCGATGCAGGATAGCAGAACGGATATGGGGAACGATCGTGGGCATCCTTTTGCCGGAGTGACAATATAGATGATAACTGTACAGAGATAAAACGTGTGAGAAAGAGAGAGTTTGCGAGAGAGAGAGAGAGAGGAAAGAAAGGAAGAGAGAGAGCGAGAGAGAGAGAAAGCGCGAAAGAGCGGAAGGGAGAGGGACAGCGGGATGAGAAAAAATAAGTTCCGAA